AAGAATATGATGACGAAAGAAGAAACTGATTAGTAGATGTCAGGTGTGTTAAAAGTAAATTGATGATGAATGATGACAAAAGGAAAAAGAATAGAATTATTAGTAAGGTGAATAAATGAATATCAATAGAAATGAATACAACGAAGAATACATACCTGATATTCAAATAGGGGATGAAGATCTGGAAGGTTACAGGTGCAAATTCAATTGTATTGATAAAACCATTAAAAGTGAAGTTATGAATATGAAATTTGATGAATTGAATCAAAAGAATGAAGTTAAGATTAGAATCATATCTAAGAGCTCGCATAAAAAGAAGTCATTTAAATATCATCAAAAATCAGTTGGTTACTGTTATCAAAATAGAAATAGAACTGAAAAGGAAGATTATAAGATATTCGAATATTGTGAGAACATTGTTGAACGTGAATATTCTGATGGACAAAGTAGCCCTAAACTCTGCTATGAAAATAGAATTGGAGATAAAAAAATAAATATCAGGCATCTTTTATAAATATCAGGCATCTTTTTATTGCCAGAAAGTTGCCAATACGGGTTGGCCATAAAACTTTCAATCTCAGATATAGTCATAAAAATAGAATCCAAGTTGATGATAATGGAACTTATGCTACCAAATATTGTCCTCAACATGGAATTGGAACTGAAAAAAATGATTATAAAGCGACTGCTTATCAAAAGCCCAAAAATTTGGGTGGTGCTGATGAAACGTATTGTAATAGAATTGGAGTAGAAAAAGACAAACATAACATGTTTATTAACTATCAAAGAAACCCCAGAATACGACTTACTAAAGAAACACTAATGCTGGTCACTATTATCAAGGAATAGGAATCAGAAAGAATAAAATAAAGGACAGCAAAATTGAAGATAAATATATGATATAACAAGTGCATATTTTAGTGATACTCAAAATATGAAATTAATAAAAAGTATTGCAATATATCTGATGATGAAAAGAGAGCAATTGTTGGGATAGACAACCATTGGTGGAATGAATCAGAGATTGAGATCGATCAAATGTTGCTAACCTTGAGAAACGATATTAACGGTAGAAGTGGTACTATAAAGAATAAATATAAAGCACTTATTAGTTATCAAATGCTTGTAAAGATGAATAATAAGACATATGATCTTGCCAAATTGAATCAAAATAGGATTGTTGAAAAAGATAAATATAAAACATCTAATGATTATCAAAAACCAGCAGAAATTGGAATTGGTTATACTAAAAGTACATATAATCTTGGATATTATTTTAAAAATGGGAATGTTGTTGAAATTGATAGGTATGTAGCATGTGGGGACCTTTCATTGTATCTTTGTGTTGTTTTACTTTTATTATTTCTTGTGGATTATCTTTATTGTTTTAATGTTCTTGTGAAACTCGAACTTAAGGGTTGGGAGAATTGTAAAAGGCAGGAATGCCCTATTCAAAAAAAGGTTGTTGTTGCAGTAATCAGTAGTACAAATTTCCAGAATTCCTAGAATTCGGGAAATTCAAGAAAAAGTAGGAAAAATTAGAATAGCGGGAAAAATCAGAATAACAAGACAAATTAGAAAAGCTAGAAAAATCAGAATTCACGTTATTCCTGTATAAGTAAAAATAATTATATAAGTGGAGATTCTCTTCAGAAATAAAATATAACTTTTGGGAGCTCAAAGTTCATTCACAGAGTTCAAAACCTTCTAAGCTTTTGAGGTAGAAGTGTTTGTTCTATTAATCTCCTAATAAAATAAAATCCATGTTAACGATTGAAATTCATGATCAAATAGTTGTATTATCCAAACCCAGTAGATATTTTGCCCTTTACAACGTATATACGTACGTGTGTACTATGAAACCTCTATAACTGTAATTTTAAAAAGCAAGTTGGAGTTAACTTTAATTATAAAACTATTTACAAAACTTCAAATACTTTGATAAACAAAAAAAAAGAAAAAAAACATAACTTATTTTATGTCAAAGTTGTTACAACAAATATAGTAATACTACAAACCATTTTATTTTTTATCTAACCTAAATTAATATGTGACACAAAAAGAGAAAGTATGAAAATAAAGGTACTAGTAAGCGTCAACCATAAATAAAAATGAAACAAAAAATTAAAAGTAAAATAAAACAACAAAAAAAAATACTTAAAGTTTATTTGT